GGAGCCACTAGTAGCGTCCTTGCTCCTAGTAGCGATGGTCTTTGTTACTAGTAGCTTCTTGTTACCAGTAGTAAGGCCTGCAGCCACTAGTAGCGTCCTTGCTCCTAGTAGCGATGCCCTTTGTTACGTCTGTAGCTTCTTGTTACCAGTAGTAAGGCAGCCACGGGGCTCAAAGCTCGAAGGCTTAGGTGTCTGGCCACCTGCTAGCCTCCTGACCCACAGGAGGCAGCCAACCCTTGTGGCACTTAGGTTCTTCGTCCCGACTGTGCCACTTTGCCATGGAGGAGCTGGATCGGCTGCTTGCCTGTGTCAGCCAGGAACCTGTGCCGAAGGACATCCGAGGTCTCTTCTCGGGCCTGACTCCGAGCTTCTGCCCCACCGTGGGGGCCAGAAACTGTCATGGCTGGTGACTTGATGGCTTTTGGAAATGACTGGCTAGAGATCGAAGCGCTGTGGTTCGTACCTGGTGATGGGTTCCAACCTCCGGTGAACAAGCAGAGTTTTATGGTCTATGTGAAGGATGCTGCGACTAGGCATTTGCATCTCTCACCTGGAATTCAGCTGGTATGTACTGGAGAAAGAGAAGTCACACAAGACTCCGATGCCATTACCCTGAAGAACGCGAAACTTTGTTTCAGGCCTGAGGTAGTTCTTTCTATGCCCTGGGACTCCATTCATTTATTTGCGGATGGCATCAAGCCTTGAACTGGCTCGACCGCTGCACTCAGACCAATTGCGTCGGTCAAGAGATCTGTATTGATCACGATCCACGTGTGATGGAAGTGTGGTCCATCAAGTTCGGCGCAAGCTTTCAATCTTTGCCAGTGACAAGGACCAACAGTTGGTCTCCTTTGAAAGTTGTCGGATTATGCGGCTGTGTCTCTGACACTTCGATCATCGAATTCTGCCGAACTCAGGTGAACCTGCTTGGGACTTTTTCACCCCCCTGCCAGAGTTGGAGTAAGGGTGGGAAAAGAGGAGGGCTCGAAGATCGAAACGGCTTCGCTTTCCTTGAGGCACTTCGCCTTGCATTTTCGCTTCAAATGGTCGCAATAGCTGCAGAATGCGCTGACGACATTGTCAGCCATCCCCAGTTTAGCATAGTGAAAGCCCTTGCGCATGCCTTGGGCTATAGACTTGCGTGGGACCAGGTTACTCCTTTTCACCCGATGTCTTCGCATGCTCACATTCGAGCTGACGCAGCCACTCAGATGCTTCCCTTCCAGCTTAAGCTGCCTATGATTCCACGGTCGCGTTGGACTGACCAAGCTTACCAGTTTCCGCTCCCGCATCGATGGAGTTCGCAGTTGAAGCTGTCACCATCAGAATGTGAAACCTATGATTCTGTTCAGTTTCTCCCACCTGCCAAGCGACCAAGGTACGAGAACAAGAGCTTGATGCGCAACGAGATCATCAGGTCAAGAGTGCCAGACGCCTCGGACATTCTGCCTACCTTGTGTGCTTCATACACACGCCAGCATCAGTTGGCAGAAGTACATCTTGCACAAAAAGGGATATTTGCATGCCTGACTGAGATTGCCCAGGGTTTCAGCTTTTTCGATGCGGCCATGTTTTGCTCCTTGTTTGGGGCAACAGAATCCGTCGTCTTGTCTGAAAAGATTGGTGAGTCCTTTCTGTTTGTTGGACATGCCATCACTGTGCCGCATAGCATTCTCGCATTGTCCATTGTGCTACATGCCACAAGTGCTTGCAAGGTTGACCCTGTTGGTCTTGTTCGCCAAGCCTGGTCCGATCGACTTACAGCATACAAAGCCATTCTTTTTGCCGACCAAGGGTTGGTACATCTCATTCCTGTGAAAGATTTTTGGCAGTGCGCCAAGCTTTCGACATCCAATCAAGGAAACAATCCTGACAAGCCCTGGCTTTTTGTCGGAACATGTGCTGACCGCCAGTTTGCTTTCCAGGTGAGTCCCAAACAAACAATCCGTGAGGCATTTCGTGAGCAGGTTCAGGCCCCATCCGGGCTGATTGATCAGGTCTGTGGCCTGAATGAAGATATACAGATTCTTCATTCTTCCACATTTGAGCAAATTGTGAACCAAGAGCGTGCCTTTCGCCTTGTTATTGGTCACGCCACACTTGGCACATGCGAGATTCGAACTCAGTGTACTGTCAGCCGAACTAAGGTCATCAGTCACTCACAAGAAGCCCATCATCCTCCAGAAGAAGTTCCTTTTGTTTTGCTTGACTTGGACGCGCGCTCTTCGTCTTCAATTTTTTGGGCGATTCAAGATGTCGTCGAAACACTGCAAGACGACGGGGGAGCAAAAGATGCAACAGCTTCAGTGATTGTTCTGCCAGAGAACCTTGGAGTGACTACGTTTGTGCCCAGCAATTCTCATGTTGATGCACTTCGACAGATCTCTGACCTTCCGATCTTCAGGAACCGCAACAAACGATTGGTGTCCATCCCTGGGGAGGCCAATGCCTATCTGCTGCTCACTGATGCTCCGCATTTTGAGGACTCACAGTCAGTTGAGGTGATCTTGCGGCACAAGAACCAATTTGTGGGAGGTGCCAGAATTCCTTCGCAGGTCGAGCAAATTTACAGTCAGATCAAAAGCACGGGACTTCACCTCAGATTGCAAGCGATCATCGGGTCTGAACCCGATCATCAGCCGCTTCAGTTGAACAATGGTGATATCCTGGACATGTGCCATGCTGCATCCACAAGTGCTGGGGGCATCACATCAACCTTGCAGCTCCGCCATCTTTGCCTGCCTTTGCTGACTTCACGGCCAGAGTTGAATTCCTATGTGACACCCATGGATGGGTTGCGACGGACGAGATGTTCCATTACACTCAAGCATTGCAATGGCAACAAGATTGGCTCAAGTTTGGAACTCCGCAACTGTGGGACGTCTCCAAAGGGGATTTCGAGGAACCTATTTTTGGAGAGTTGCGTATTCTGAACAACACCACTACTGCGATCCCAGTGTTGATTGGAAGTCATTGGGCAGGTATTGAAATATTCAGAAATGGAACTGACACCCAAGTCACGTTCATTCAGGCGCCTGCTGCAGTGCAAACAGCATTGACCTTTCTGGTCGCCAGACTACTCGACATCGCTCCTCATCGCTTTCAGGTGCGCGCCGAACAAAATGATCCTCCCCCACACGTTTGTGGGTGGAACCTGATCTTTCGGTGGTTTCGCAGACATGGAATCCATCAAGGCATTGCGGATATCTCGAACCACATCACTTTGAATGCAGAGTACAACGAGTTGACCCAGCTGGCTATGCAGTGTTCCAGTGAAGATTGGGCACTTGCCCAAATTCCTATCGACGTTGGCCAGCTTGCGTACACTCCTCGGAAGAACTTCCTGTGCTTCCTTGCCAGACGTGAGCTCCAAGGGAGGCCCCATCAGCAGATTGAGCTCCGTTGACTCCGCAGCCACAAGCAGTTGCTTCGCTACCACAGCTGCCATTTGTGCCACTTCCAATGCAACTTGACAGATCTCAAGCTATCAAGAAAATTTCTTGTCAATGGGGTCCTTGAAAGTATTTGGATCCTCAAAATCTGGGTCCTTCATGTTGGCTCTTTTCCCTCTCACAGCCTTCACTTTGGGAGGCCGCCCCAGAAAGCTCAAGCTGCTTTTCACCTCACCTCCCACCCTTTCACTTTGGGGGGCCACCCCAGAAAGCTCAAGCTGCTTTTCACCTCACCTCCCACCCAATGCTGCTTTCACTTTGGGGGGGCCGCCCCAGAAAGCTCAAGCTGCTTTTCACCTCACCTCCCACCCAATGTGATAATATGTTGCTCTATACAAACACAATGCCCAAAAATTCCCACCCAGCTCGATGGAGGGCCAGGGGTGCATGAATTAAACCGAAACCCTGAGGATGGTTGGGCAAGGCTTGGTCTCTAAGTGTTGCTCAACCAGTTCAATGTTGAACTTAGGGCCACTTTTTGGTGGTTCGGTCTAAGGCCCCGTTTCCGTGCCGAACTGTCGCCAAAACGTCGCCTGGCCCAAATCAAGGGCAATTTTTTGCTCAGAGTGCTGTGTTGTTGCCACCATGCCGGTTTCAAGCGCAATCACAGACTTGTGCAGCTCTCAGTGACTTTTTGCAATCAATTTTGAACTTTGCTAGGTTAAAAATCAAGATGAAACC